CATTAGCATTTTGAAACATTTCCATACAAAGTAATTTGTTTGAGACAGATCTACAAAGTTACCAGCTTCTGATAATTCGTGTTTTTCATCCTCCCCCTGAGTTTCATGCTCTGTTTTATTGAAAAATCAATTGGCAGGGTGATTAATGGACTGTCTCAGGCACGGAAACTAATGAAGGCAAATGATAAATTATTGAGCCTGATTACAATGAACATATGCAGCCGAGTAAGTGTGAATTTCTCCTCCATCAATCACGGTAATGGACGAGGGTATTCCGAGTCATCGTTATCGCACGTCCCGCGTCAATAAATCAACCAAAGGATTTCCGACTGTTCCGCTGAAAAATAAAATAAATTAGCTGATCTTTCCCACCCCGAAGTATTTTTTCTCACTTGCTCTATCTTCTTTTCACACAAGAAAAGGTAGGTTATGTGAATATTTTTTTGGTGTATGCTTACACGTACAAACTGTCAAATTTTTCTTGTCTCGCAAAAGAAAACACGTACAACCTATCCAAATTTCTCGTCATCACCTGAGCAGATACACTGATTGGCGATAAAGATATGTCACTTCTGCCATCGCTCATCTTATCGTTGTGAATGATACGTTATACCTAAAACTTGGGCTAGAATTGATGATGGCAAAACAAACATCTAGTACATCCCCTTCTCTGTATTAACTTCACTTGCATCTGTAGATAAAGGTCGGTATTCTGGATTCCTTTCGAGGCAAAGTGACAAGTGCAACCAAAAGTACTTCTCTCGGCAACAAATTCGCTTTATATATGCCACGGTACTTGTGTTCTTAGCAATAAGCATTGTTAAGAGAAAATACTTATCATCTTGAAAACTGACGTACTTAGTTTGGTAAGATTTCATACTGAAATGTAGAACATCACTAGGCATCGTTATAAAGAGTGATGATTTTTAGATGTCATCTGAATTACAGTGCACATTTTGCATAAAGTACAGTAAGAAATAGTTGATATTGTGGGATGTTGAATTAGGTCAAATATTGAAAATGCAGATGTGAAAAGCAGGTCATTATATCCAATTAAAACACTTAAAGAGCCAAAGACTTTCTGGATTTGTGAAAGGGACTGAAATGCACGGATTTTGAATTAATTTAAAAAAAAAGGTCATTTAGTGAACGTTTCTATAATTTATTGAATACAGTATAACCATATCTGGATAAATTATGTAAATCGCATTGTGTTCACATTTATTAAATGCAGTCCGCTTTAAGATTTTACGTAGACAACCGTATCTGGATATGCATTGTGTTCACATTTGTACAGAGACAGCCATTGAAAGACTTTGCTTTACTCTATGCCTCTTAATTTCAATGGCGTACTTTGTGTAGAAGATGGATCCTTTGCTTTGTCATCAGCAAGTCAATAATGTCCTCATAAATTTTCTTTTTCCAATTATGGCCCGCCATCGATACGTTATCTGATCTGTGTAATCTCTATGTATGGAGTCGTCGCCGCGCTGTAAAACGAAACATTTGCTCAAAATAATCTGGAAGACGCAGAAAAGATTTGTTGGCCGTATAACGTTGATTTATCGCCTCTTGCCTGAAATATGTCCTGTGTTCCCTCGTAAAATGCAATCTGTCTCTTCTAATGAAAATAGAAAACCTTTTTGTGTCGGTCACAATTAGCAGCGCACGGAGTTCCTTTTCCACAGATTTAAGAATCTCGGAAGTCGATGGAGGAAACTCCCCGGTAACATTCGTGAAAAACCGGCAATGTTTATGGAGCGGATCCAAATATAGGTGGAATGTTTCTCACCAGAAAACGTGCTGTTGATTGTAGAATCTTTTTCCCACACGATTAAAATCGGCAAAGCAAAATGTAAATAAAAATGCTGAGGAAATCTGTAAAAAATTATCGTGTCCGCCTGCACTCAACCTCAAAGTGAAATAAAACAGATGTAATTTTATCTGAAGCAAAAGGTTACATTAAACAGCGGACTGATCATAAATTTCAATTGGATGTGATAGATGCGATGTGACGGGTAATCAATTTGCTGCAGTGGGTCTGGATATTGTGATAGACACATAAAACCGAGTGAGAGAGAAAACGATGAGCTACAGTGAGGCATTATTGACAGGGGTGTTAAAACACCAGATATTGGCTCTGACATTACGTCGTTAACATCCGACATTGGGGAATAGTTGCCGTAATTATCACCGTCAGTAACGGTTAGCTTCACCGTAAGACCTGTCTGTCAGGTGGTCTCAAGCTTTCTTTTATGTGGAACATCAAAACCCTCATGCTGTCAGAAATGGCTTTTCAAAATGATAAAAAGATTCTTTGATGTATAATACAAAATAATGTGATTTTTTAAAAGATACATTGCAGATTCTGAGTCACCCTAGGCATGTTACCATGACGATATGCTCTGTATGGTCGATACAGGTTCTGCCAGACAGCACATAACCTATTGTCTGAAGTAAAATCCCTAAACTATAATAACTGTACATAAACACAAGAATCTTTCCTCGTTGTAAATTCAACTAACATCATCAATTACAATTTGATCAACACATCACTCAAATTATCTACTGTTTGTAGTCTTTATTTCATGTAAAGCTCTAGACTATGCACAAGGATAACTGTTCAATTTTATTTTAACCATCAAATTAACGGAATGTGGAAAAAAATATGTTTGGAAAAAAGGAATTTATTTTTATTTTCTCTCCTTTTTTAAGACAAAATAAAGGAAAATGCAGATGAAGATAGGAATAAAAGAGTACACACGCTCAAAGTGCTCTTGTTATCCAGGTCATTATCTGGCTATCATTTTATGCAATTTGTAAATTTCTGACCTCTACAGATGACCTTTTGGCCTCAAATTCAGAACTCTTCCTAATCTATGAAAGCTAAAATATAACACGTCATTGAAGTAGTTTGAAGAAAACAGTTATCGTCTGGATTTCTTGTAATACAAAATATAATTTCCTAATCTTGACCTTTGATCTTTTGTCCTTATATTCATAGGGGGGGGGGGTAAGAATTTCTGACCTTGACCTTTAGTTCTTTATCTATTTTTATGCCACCGTAATCGAGGATTCGGGGTATATAGTTTTTGTCCTGTCAGTCCGCCTGCTTGTCCCCAAAAATTTACCTTTCCCAAACTTTTGGGTGCGTGCAGCTATGGCTTTCATATTTTACTTATAACGAGACTTTTCTTACCACAAAATTTGACCTCTTGACGTTGACCTTGGAGTTTTACCATTTTACCAACTTTTACAATAAAAAAAAAATATATCGAAATAAACATTAGCCATGGCTTTTAAACAGTCGGTACTAAGGCTTTCATACTTCACATGTGTATTCAATGTGACAAGACCTTTCAATGGATAAAATACATTTGACCTTAAACTTTGAGTTTGGCCCACTTTTATAAAAAAAAGACTTTAAGTATACATGTACAGTATCATTGCAAAAGTTAAAAGATTCGGAGACTAGTGTTACACACAGACAGAAAGACACTCCTCAATTGGCGAAACAAATGCCTTGTAACAGGACCTTGGTTCATTTATTGATGATCAGCTCTTGTTTGTGGCTTAGGCACGTATTGGTTAATGAGACAAAAGATAATTAATTCAATCAATCAGCACGTATATATGTACGTATCTATTTATAAAAAGTGTTCACCAAAGCCGGGTATTGGTTTACATTAACAAGGGATTTTCTACAACACCGAGTGCTTTCTATTCATCTCACCAAGATACAAATTGAAAACGACATCCTGTGCCATGCATCAACACGAAGGAATTAAAATAGAATTACTCCTGTCACATCCAATCGAGAATCCCCGCTACTTACTAGCGCCGTTGGTCCCGTGTTTTTTATCATCTATAATAATGAGTAACGTTACTGGCATAATTTGAACCTTGGCTTTTCATATTTGTTATATCAACTCTCGCATTGCTACACGGGATATGCACTCTTTTGTTATCTCGCCTAACGTTTGATATTAACGGATCTCGACAGCGCGAACAGTCTTGAAGAGTGAAACCCCCATGGAACCAATAATTTTAAGATAAATATTCCATCAACTGCCAGTCGTCTTCCCTTCGGCTTCCTGTAGATACGGATGACAGGTTTGACTCGTCAGCCAGGGGGCGCTCTCACCAGTGATTGATAACTCAACATTTTAAACGAGAGTTTATGTCAAGGTTTATCAAAACGTCAGTAATGCGACACCAAGTTTTGGCATTTTGCATCACTAGTAAATCAAATAGCAGACTTTTTATGCAATATACAACATTCTAAGAATGCAGGGAAACATCAGACGAAAGCATCAATTTTTTCGCATGAAAAGTTGCTTTACTCAACAAAGCATACTGGAAAACATGGGAATGGATAGATTATCATAAAAAGTCATCAAATAAGTTTGTATTCACAAACTCCGCCCACATTTTCTCCCCTGCTATTTAGCCATTGTAGAAGCGGAACAATAAACAGATATGGGATTGGGGCATTGTTAACTTGTTATTTCAATACATTTAAGTGATTTACACACTTTCCTCCTTTATTTATACCCAACTTCATGGGATTTCGTTCTAGGTTAATTACGGCCTAGTCCAGTCCGTTATATCCAGACTACACTGTAGAACAGACCATTTCTCGTTGTGTGTGTGATTCCGCGCTAAAACCATCAACATGACAGTCTACTCTTTTCCTATCTTCTGCAACACACCAAGCTGTCAAGATAACCTGCTTCAGTGATGGCTTTGTGGTAATCTATGGCAGTAGATGATCGTTAATTTTGGACGGAAGCGATAGAATGTTTTTTATGGCTCTCCTCGGATTCGTTATGGTGGCATACGATTTAAATTAATACACGGATTTGCTGCCTCCAATCTGGTAGTATAGACATGTTTATATTTTTAGGGGTGCTTGCTGCCTATTCTTTGCACGAGATATTTTGCTTCATATCGAGGATGGGCGTGCTAGAGTGTCTGGCCTACGAGATTTATGGATCCTC